TATGAATTTTATCAAATTCTGTCCACTAATAAAAAAAAAATACTTCAACTTTCAGATCAGGAAATTTCTTATTTGACACGACTATATTTTGAAAACTGCGCGTTCGATTTGACCCAAACTTAGAGAAAATTTGGAGAATAGTATAGAAATTATATTATAGTATCGATTTCGCTGAATTCCATTTAATAATTAAAATTAATTATAAATTTTTGTTATAATTATAATATAATTATAAATTGTTATAAACAAGTACTAACAATATAATAGTTGTGAAATGTGGAAGGCATTGATCATCTGGAATGAGAGTAAGGTTAACACAATATTTTTATGAGGTTATAAAATTCAATGGGGTTTTATTCAAAAAGTTAATTTATAATGTATTTGTTGGTCGATTCCAAACCTTACTGATATGACACTTACTGCCGTAACTTAAATTTCGTGTAATGTTCAGTAAATATAAATTAATTTTTACTCTAAGTTTCTAAAAAAAAAGTCTTATTTGTGATTGTGTTTAATTATATTGAACTAGCTCGTCGTGGTCTCGATTTCCACCTTAAACATCAAAGTTGTGTTACTTCACACATATTTTTATATTAGAGTTAACTCCGAACAATTATATTGTTATATCATAACAAAAAGTTAAATTTTCTCTATTAAGTATATATCACTACTATTGTGCTTAAGGCGACATTTTGTAGTCTGCAACTGACATAAGCAATCTGTAATTTTTAATCACGAATCATCAAATATGCAATCTGCAAATGTAGAACTTTTTCACATTTTAGTATTCAATGAACAAAACTCGTGGATATCATATCCGAATATGTTGAGGGATTACTGAATTTTCGAAAACGGCTTCTCCAAGAGAATTTATTCTCGTATGAAAAATGTGAGACCTTATATAGATATTTTTAGTAATATAGATATTTTTTAGCCAATGAAAACTGTGAGGAAGCTATACCGCTGCCCTTGGCAGACGTTTTGCTATTGGGCTTTATTTCTAGGCATCCTCCTTTGTCTCTTGGCTACAAGAAGTTTTTGAGGAAATGCCGCCAGCCACTTCTATCATTTATCATCTAATTTTTTCCTTCATATAATTTGCTTTCGTCGTCCTTTTCATTGAGAGAGGTCGAAATGATTAACCTCCGTTAATTCCTTCCACTCGCACACGTGCCTCTTATAGTGACCCGTGATACTATGCTCTGTACAATCATAGGAGAAGTACCAAGATTTCAGTGAACGAACTGAAATGTTCATGTCACTAACACATATAAATATGAAATAAAAAATATGTGTAGCATAATTTTCGAACTATACATTATGTGTTTGTGGATAGAGGACTTACACCAATTTCAAAGCAAATAAATTAGAATTTCATCAATTATGTAAATTTAAAATGAAAATCATGAAAGTTTATAGATTTATTTAAAGTATTAACCATTAACTAAAAGTTAGTCAAATTAAAATAAAACGATTAACTTTAATATAATTTTAAATTAATTTAATGTAAATATATTTTTTTTTGTTTTCTCAGCAGCCTATCAGTGGAAATATTGAAAAAGATTGGGCATGATTCTCTAAAATAACAACAAGTTTTAGGTATGAATAGCTAATTCTTTTTTAGAAAACAAAATCTAATTATTTTTGAGAAAAGAATATCTAATTTTCTAGAGAAAAAAAAGATCTAATTATTTTTATAATTATTTTTCAAAAATGTTTTTCTCGATGTTGTATCTTAGAGCTATGCTATAATAACATAGCTTCCTCAATACTTCATGAAATTAATAACTGAGCCGTTATAATTGAAGATAGTCTTCTCCATTAATAGTGAAAAATAAGGATATCCTTCAGAAAAACAGGAAAATAAATTATAAAGAAAAGAAAACTATATTTACGTGGCCACCAACAATTTTATAATATTGAAATTGTTTCAAAATATTCAAGAGATTTCATTGAATTCGCTCAATAATTGGTTATCTACCATGTAGCGGTTGTATAAAAACAAAGTTCACGCAATAATTTGTTCATGTTTTAAGCTAATATCATTTCAAAATATTCAAAGAATCGCACTGAATAATTTGAGTAGTTGGTTAACAAATATAGTATACTTATTTATTATTATTATATAATTATTTGTTATAACTTTTGTATAGTCAGAAGACTTGAAAAACCTAGCCCTGTCTGAAAAGTTGATTGACTCAACTGCGCCACAATGAACTTTCAAGCTAATGGATTTCGAGTTTGTAAGGATTCGCGAAACTAGAGCTCTAAAGAGAACCACAAAAAAATACTGATTGAGACTGAATTAAAAGACCTCTGTCTGCTATTTCAAGAGTTTGCAGGTAGTTTAGAGGTCATGGCAATTTGTTTAAACTATAAAGCTGAAATAGGCTGGAAATAAAATTAGAATAAACTACAAGATTCTTTTTTTTTTCTTATGCCAAAGTCGTTGGTCATTCGGCTATTGGACATCTTGCTGCCCAGTATAATTCAGATTTTTTAATATATATATTTAAAAATGTTTTTTCTCTTATGATCTAGGTGGTCTGCATCCATTTCCACTTGTTCACATAATTCACAGCTAGGATCCTCAGCCAGGCCTATCTTGTGCAGATAACTTTGTAGATAGTCGTGACCAGTGGCCAGGCGGAAGCAGGCGACTGCATCTCTTCTTGGTAGGTCTCTTGGGATCGAATAATCTATCAACCACAAGAGCGTTTCGGTTCCACCTTGTCCGAGTGTGTTTTTTTAATTTCTTCCTGCACCATCTTGTTCTCTTCTTTATTTCTATCTTTACCCACCGCAGCGCTGATTTGGGATTCCCTCTATTAAACCACTGTTCTAGCATTTTTAATGGCTGATTCAGTTGATCCATCGGTATAGATATGCAGCCAATCTTATAAGAGGGTACTTTTGAACTATAATTTCTAGTGCTAATGCTTTTAGCATGTATTCGGTCCTCGTGCATAATTATTATTTTATTTCATATTAAATATTTCTAATTTTATTAAATATTTTCTCTTCAAACTAAATTCTATTGTTTCAACTACTTTCATCCAAACTTTGGATTATTTCGGGAATCTATGAGTGCTCTGGTGATCTTGAAACCAGTTACCATATTGGATTAGAAAAAAAATCATTGTTAGAATGAGTGAAATAGTTAAATATTTAACCTAAATTGTTGACGACCTATTTATAAACAAATAATAATAATATGCTCATCTAACAAATAATTTTCATTAAATTATTTTATATCCTTAGGACGAAAAAATAAAATGAAATAAATAAATATTAAATTTATTAAACAAATGAATTAATGTTTTGTTTTTTTAATTTGTTAGTTCACGAATTAAACAAATAAACTAAGGAAAAGTAATCGGATGTAAAATAAAGAGAAGAAATTGAAAAGAAGATGTTATCCTTTGGTCTGCTGACTTTTTATTGCAGGGGGGTTGAGGGGACACTCGTTTTTCTTCAGGGGCTATCTCTGCATCTCGTCCTCTTAAATTTGAGACAAAAAGTTTAAGTGATTTTCTTTCTCTAACAGTTCTTTTGATTCCCCCCCCCTCTAACAATTCTTTCGTTCTATTTTTAAATATTCTTCTACGTTCATAAGGAGTTAGTTAGGTAATTAATTCAATCAATATATCTATCAGAAGTAAATCAATAAATTGCAATTTTTACTAAATGGTTATTCTTTTAATATATTCTACCAGTGACTGATTTAGCTATTTGGCGACCTCTGGGTAATGAATTCATCTCTCTCTGAAAAATTAAATTTATTTCTTAAATTGTTTCATATCAATTAATATTTAAATATTATTTCATTCAATATTTCTCAAACCCAGTTGCTTTATTAATAAGCTAAAATCGATTATTCTCATATGCTTTGTAATTTATGTTTAATCTCTTTATAGTGGCTGAGGCTCCTTTCCAAGTCAACGCCCTCAAGCAATTATCCGGGTTGCCCTGCACTGTGTTGCACTTTATTCCACTCTATTATAGGATATTATATCTTCATGGACAAAATGCAAATAAATTTTCGTTTCAGGATTAACCATAATTTTAATTATTTCAATTTAAATCACAACTTCTCACCTCGGACTCCATCTGGACAAACCTCTAACTTGGAATCCTCATACCAGACTGAAACGACAAGAAACAACTCCACGTTTCCGACTACTTCAACACTTACTAGACAAACGCTCCAACCTTCCAATTAATTATAAAAGACTCATTTACATGACTATAATAAGGCCTATTTGGACTTACGAAGTTGAGCTATGGGGCTCCACCAAACCTTCAAATTCCTCTCGCATCCAATCTTTACAATCCAAAATCCTTCGTAAAATCCTCAACGCTCCCTACTTTGTTACTAATAAAATTATCCATAATGATCTTAATGTTCCTTATGTATCAGATTTGGCCCAATCCAGATATCTGTCCTTCCATAATAAACTTAATAACCATTCCAACCCTCTTGTTTCTAACATTGCTTCCTATTCAATTCCTGATAACCCTCCGAGGCGTCTGAAAAGAAGATGGCCACGTGATCTTCTAATATAGACATATTATTAGAGTGCTACCAATGGATAGTTTAACAACATGCGTTTCATGTCATTATATCCTTGTGCGAATTTACCAGATGTATTTTTTGTATACAGTTGTAAATATCATATAAATAAATAAAAAAAATCACAACTTCATTTTGTTCCTCTTTTTGTTCAGTGCACGCTGCACGTTAATAGAGTTCCTGTGTCTGACATTAACTTTGGATAGTTGTTCTTTTTGCAAGCCAAGAGTGGATATTTAATTCAAAAATACATTTCTTTTTAAGTACTTTTTATTTATAATTTTTCATGACGATACTATCAAAACATATTGATTTGCTAATACCGTTGTACTGATGAATCCATGTATAATCGAGATATGATATAACAGGGAATAAAAGAATGTTTATATTCACAGAGTAAATGCCAAGACGCTAATCAAACAGAGACGAGACATTATACCATCCATCATGTCCAGGACATCTTTATCGTAATCATCATCAAAAGTGGCTCCATGGCACACTAAACGTCCTTCGGTTAGTGTTACCACTCTTGGACAATATGCTGTTCCTTCTATGGCTGCCATCAAGCTGTCGTGCAGTCCATCCATCTCTGTTCAGGGGTTCCTTTGGGAAAGATATGTTAGTAATGGATCGGTCTATTCGGATTTATCTATTTGTACAGATGTACCATTTATCCACACTGTTTATGAAACGCCAGATATATTCTCTGACTCTAAGAAGTGATGAATTTCGATCAATCAGGTATCAACAGACAGACAATTTCATAAATAAGAAAAATCGTACTACGATTCTAATAAAAGACATTGAAAATCTAAAGGATCCCAAAACTCCAAACTAGTAAATCCAATAGATCGATTTCACAAATGAAAGGAAATTTAATAAAGAAGTGACAAATCCTCATTGTAAAACTTAAAACCTTTAATCTCAATAAATGCCATTGTAAAAATTAGAAGAATCTAAAATAGATAGTTTCAAAAGTCGAGAGACCGAAAATGGGATAATTTTGTTTAATATATTTTCTCCAACATCCTTAATCACTACAGTCCTGTAAAACTATACTTCCCTAAATCCCTAAAATCTACCGTTCCAGAGATAACGAGCAAGATATGTATCTAATAATATAACGGCTCAGCCCAATCTTACTATAGAGATAGTGAATATTAAACCGAAAGGACTTATTTGCCAAACTAATATTTTAGACTCGTTAGGAATCCTCCATCACCACCTATTGATCTTGGTTTTCGCTTATTCGATGCTCTATAATATTCTTGGTATATTAGCTGTGACTTCGCCTAACTCGCTCTTATTTATTTTTTTTAATATTATCTATTGATTGATGATTATGCTGTGTGATTTAGCAACTCAGCACAGTTGAGCAGCGCTGCAATATTATTGTATTTCTCTCTTCTCTTTGTACTCCTGGGCTAAAGGACACATTGTCCATTTCTTCATTAAATAGTTTAGCAACGAAGAAACATTATTTAATTGCTCAAAGCCATGGGACATTGGCTCCCATGAACAAATACAAAAATGGACATGTTGTGGTTTACGTCCAGGGCACAGATATTTGGCCTTTTGTTTATTGACTAATATACAATGCGAATAGCACGCAAGCGCCAACAAGTGCTTAAACAAAGAGTGATTTGAAATAATCTTACTTATAAATAAATCTAGCCCTTCACTAAACATCTATTAATGCAGAGATAAATAAATCGTATACAAGAATATGTTCGTCATTAGAGCTCAAATTGTTTCAAAACACTCACGATTTCTCACCTACTATTTTGAGCTATCGAACTTAGAATTTGATTTTTAATATCAACCATTCCCTATCCAATCGCTAAAAATTGCTACGTACTCAGAGGAGATGAACCCAAACACACATCCCCTCCCTATGACTGCTCATTATTAAACATCATTACGTAATAAAAAAAATTAAACATTAAACATTGCTCAACATTTTATTAGAACATTTCCCTGGAAAATACTTTAAAAGCCTGTTTCCCGCCTGTCAGCAAAACTATTTAGAGAAGGCTGGATAGTTACAATGGAGAGAGGGCTGCTGAAGCAGAATTTATTTCCAGCCAATGTTATTTCATGTTATTTCATCTGTTCTCGGTTTAAACGTTCTCCTTCGCTTCGCAAAAAAAAAGTTCTGTTTTTTCTCAAGAGGCAAGGTCCAAGTTTTTCCTGTATAAAAATGAGAGGCCAAATGCTTGTTAATAACCTAAAAAATAAAATAAATTGTTAATAATTATCTTATACTGTTTTAATTCATTTGGAACTCTTCAATAATTACTACAAGTTGAGCTGCAACCTAAATTTATTTTAGAAAATAAACTTTATTCTGGGACGAGATCCCTTCAGAATAACTATTATGAACAAAAAATAAAAACCACATCTGGTCCAAAATTAGATTAATCAAAATTAAAGAATTTTTATATACATTTATTTATTTCATTTTCTAATTATTCAAAGAATTGTGATATATCAATACTATGTTACTTATACTAACTATGTGTCGCAATACGCGTTATGTCGCAAGATGGTACGCGTAGAAATATATGCACCCATTACAGGGTTACTGTAATGAGGAAAAAATAAAAAAAATAAAAAATAAAAAAAAATTAAAGAATAAATACAATATCTTCAGTGAAAGTATATTAAAACAAATAAAAAAGTTATACTTTTTTGAAAAAAAATAAACATTATTTAAATGATTATTTAAATAGCTTTCTAAAACACATCATGGAAGGAGGACATAATTCACTTCTTTAACCATTCTTCAATCGTAAAATATTTTAAAAATATATAATAATAGATTATTAACACAATTAATCAATCTATTGATAAAATATATTAAGTTTCTATTTTTACTTCCACTATATAAAATATATAATACAGTAATGCTTAGCATATCGTTGGAAAGTTGAGAATTTTAATGAAAACTGAATGAAATTTCCGTAACAAATCAAAATAGAAGGTTTTAAAATTTATTTTAAATCTAAGAAATCATAAATAAATGACGTGCCGAATAGCTACTAAAAAAGAATTGTTTAAAAAACTATTTAATTGTTGTTTTGTCAGAGAAGACGTGAAAAAGTGCATGTTGCTATTAATATCTAGTAATGTATACGTTGTAAATGTAAATCCAGGTGGTAATACCACATCTTCTATACCTTGGAAGTTTTGTTTTGCTTTTAATATTATTGTTTTTCTGTACTATTTATTTTTATTTATTGTCGACAGAGCGTGAAAGTGCTCTCTGAACACTATTATAAATGTCCTTATTTGTGACAGATTGTAATATCGCTCAATAAATATAGTTTTTAAAAAAAATTTGTTTATGTTTCACAGGTTTTTGACTTATTTAATTTTTTTCCCCTTTCTAAGAAATTTTAATCAACTACTGTATATATATACAATTATGTATATGTATGCGATAGGGGCTGGTTTATACTATTTCTTACCCTGGAGTAAACGATTTATTTAATCGAAACTTAAGTATATAAATAGCATATAAACCAATTATTAGCAAATTAATTCATTGGGAAAGTATGATTATCTGACATTACTATCATTCTCAACAAATCTTCCTCAGGTAAAGTTTCCAATTAATAATAATATGTCGATTTACAGTATCTGCCATTTTGAAGTTAAAATAGAATACTTCAAAGCAAGTAAAACTGGTCTAACATATTTTTTTTTTTAATTCTTTAAGTAACTATGACAGTATGAGTGTTCTTAGCAACGTCGAGTCATAAGTCTATTTTTTTTATTATAGGAAATACTCGATTGAGTCAACAGCCACACGTTTATGTTTTCTTAGTCATATTTAACTTGCATGTATCCTATCAGTAAACAATGACCCATTGTGCTCCCAGAGCTCTACCCTGAGCTCAGGAGCTCAGTGCTAACCCACTGAGGTACCCCGCTGCCTTAGCTCGTCCTTGCTTAACCTTTATTACCTATAGCAAGTGCCTTAGGCTACTTGGATATCCTAGTCTCTCATAGGAAATATATGTTAACATAATATATGCATCAATATATTAATAAATATGAGATATGTCACATATGCCCCCTCTAGAAATATACAATCACTATCAGTAGTCATTTGATATTTACAGTCCATAAACTAATCTCTCCGCAATATCTCATTGAAATTAATAATCACAATACTTCAGTATCAATAAATGGCCAATTTAAATTATAGCTTCCGCTGAGGACAATTTGCAACGAGTACTTTATCACTGATAGTGCTTGCAGCGCTCTTTCTTTGAACAGCGTTACTGAGTTACTGGGCTTGAAGGAAGCGAGAACAATAAACTTGCTGCGCAATGAACATTAACCATGTGAGACAGGCACCCTGGTGTACCCAGCTGTTCTCAGCGCTGATATCTACTAACATAGTTCAACAGTTTTTTATTTGGAAATTCTTTTCCAGGATCAGTTTTGTTCGACACGGTGTTGGCTCTTGTACCTGGAGAGGGATTAAATATCATACCTTGTACCAATACATCTTTTGAAATTCTTTGCGAAGGAGTTGCAAAAATATGGATATGAAGAAGTAAACATCACGGACGTAATATCCCGATTTAAGAACCATCTATCGATGTTCTTCGTTCACATCTTGGAATCAACATACAATGATAAAATTTTCGACTTTACTAGCATATATTGCACAAAACTTATAGTAGAAGAGCCCAGAAAAAAGCGAATCATACCTCAATACACCAGAAGTCAACAATGCGAGCATACCATGGTATTGTAATCATGCACATCCTTCTGTTAGATGTGGACTCAGCCCTCTACATGCAAGAAGACCAGAGAAATACCTGCGAAATGTGCGAATTGTATTGGTAACCATCCAGCTTTTTTTTTTTTTTTTTTTTTTGGGGGGTCCTCCCTGTTCTCGCCTATAAGGCTATACGGGGTTCTTCCGGGGCAGGGAGTGTGGGCGGAGATTTAAAAGACTCCCCCGGCACCGGGATGCTAACTCGGAACTATTTTTTATCGGAACTATTTGCCGGGCAACGGCGGTGCTGTGCACACGCGTTAGCCCATTCGGCCACCCCGCCCACACTAAGGTAACCATCCAGCTAATTACCATGGATGGCAAGTTCTCAAGGACCTCAGAACACAACGGGCCTCAAGAAGTAATCGTCCTCAGCGATCTTCGCCTCGCCTCCCCCTTCCCTCTGCTCTCTCTCCCTTCTGAATCCCACAGAATTTCCAGCTCTACCTCAGCTATCACAGACTCAGCGAGTATGACTACAGGTGAATGACACATGAGAACTCTTTATAAACGATTTCACAATTACTTACATACTAATAGAGATATAGCTTCAGCTGACATGCCAATTAGTACGAGGATGGGATTAAAAAGGCGCTGGATGAGAGACCTCCTTTCTTGACAAATCATGGTAATTGATTCAATCCAGACAAAAGGTACTGCTGGATGCTATACTTCCCCGTGCCAGAAATGTCAGTTTCGTTACGTTAATCAGACCATCTGCTGATTGTCAACAGTCGTCGAAAGGGGCAGATCGATATTGAAACATAAAAAAATACATACAAATAAAAAAAATAGTTACAACAAAACTTTTTACTATTTATTTAGAGTTATAACAATCTGTCAAGTGGACAATAGATTATAGTGATATATGAACACATTCACACCATATTACAAAACTAAATCTGTGATTTGACTTTATAACCAAGCTTAATTCACTATTAATTTCAATGCATTTACATTTATGGAATTTGCGCATTCTTCTATATTTTAATTAATATTTAGTTTAAATATATTTCAAATGAACGTGCTCTGAAATTATATTTAAATCTCTTTACCAATTTCTAAGAAAAAATCATAAAAACAGTAAAAGCACTTTAAATTTAATGAATAAATAAATATAAATGTTTCCGTTCGTCTCCAGCTCGTTTACCAAATCGATATTTTAAAGGCGATTTTAACAAATAAAAACAGTAAATTATTATTTTCAACAGTTTAATAGTTATTTTTATTTATAATTTACAATGTTTTATTTCATTGCCTTTCTGGAGAAAATTATTCTAAATACTGACCGTAGATGAGGTGGTTTTTATACTTAGCGCAGGATTCAATATTTATATCTTGGGTTATTATTTTTTTATTTTTCAATAACAGTATATACAGGAACAACAATGCTTTTAGAGAATTTTCTTGGAAGTTGTTACATTTAGTAGATGATTTTTATGTGTTATAATTTCAAAAAAAAAAAAGTCTTATAATTTTATTAATATGTGTCAGAGATAACTCAAAAAAAAATTAATTTTCTATTTTTGGGAGAGAGGACATTAATCTAAAAAATATTTCCCGTTCCCTTTGAATCTCTAATATACGAAATTTTTCACCATTGCTCAGTATAAATTAACCCAACCCTGTATTATCTATGCTGTTCATAAGAAGCTAAAAAAGTTTCTAACAGCCTCGTATTGAAACGAAAGAACTTTGCTATTAGTCTAGTGAATGCTCGAAAATAAGGTATAGAAAGAAATGGCTCATTGTTTGAACTAGTAAGGAAATTAACATACAGAAAGACCCTACTGTTAGGTGGTGTGCCAGATTTGTTTTTTTAATTACTCATAGATGGAGAAAAAAAGGTACATAATTGTATACCTATTATATTTTATTGTGCAGTATGTTATAGATTATAATCAATCATATTGCAAACTTTATCAGCTTCAATTTTGTATAGAACGTCTCTGTCGTAGAGATGGGTAGTTTTCCTGATATAAACAAAACTCGAAAAAAAGATCTTCTAGACGCTTCTCACATTTGGCTCACCACCTAGGAATGGGGAATTTAAGTATGTTTACCTCCTTATTAGTCCAAACAATGTCCCAAAGTCTAAAATTGTGTCTCCGCCATTTCCTTCTCTGATCGTTCATGTTAGGACACTGTTAAGCCTCTCGAGTACCAAGATCAGGAGTTGGAAGGGTTCCGTAGCTTCCTGCTGATAATAGCTTTAGCGAAGTTCACCTCGTTGCATGAGCATCTTTAATGAAAATTTTCGTGCCAAGGAGACGGGGGGGGGGGGGGGAAGATATTACTTTCAAGGAAGAAAACAGTTCGCTTTTTTTCTCCCCCCCCCCCTTCCTCTCAGCTAACAAGCCTTCGCATTTTTTCATTACGTTATTACTTTTTCTTTAATAATATATCATTAAACCCGACCATCGCTAAAGGGCTTGTAATGGCTCCTGCGCAAAAACATATTTTCTTAGAAAACTTTTCAGAATAATTCAAGAATGATTACACTCTGAGTGGTTCCGCTACTACCAGCTTCGTTACTTCTTCCTTGCCTCGCCTCTTCCACTCTCCTTTGTGGCAAGATTTATTCCTGAGATATAACCTTGTTTTGCTAATTGAACTCCCATCTTCCTCAAGGGAGGAAATTGTGAAGTAATACGGCTTTTCAAATAAAGCTTAAAAATCCCATTTAATAAAAAATAAATAAATAAGTATGAGAAGCTTTTATTAGTTCGGAAAGATTTTTTTGCTCGAAAACCGACGGGAAATAGCAGAGTATGCGCATGCTTTATTTCTCAATTTCAAATGATCTTTGGGAGATCAACAATGATAACATCAATTGCAAGGAAATTGGCAAGATTGATGAAGGAAAATGTCTCTGAACGTCAAGTCCTGATAACGGGAAAAGGGTGATAGACTCTCGCAAATGCTCTTCAACTTAACTCTGAAGAATGTGATAAGAAAAGTACCACACGCAAATGGAGGGGTCCACGTAGGAATGAATCATAAAATGTCAGTAAATCCAGATTATATAGCTATATTTAGAGGACATAAAAAGACTTGCTGAAACTCTGATAACAGAAGCAGAGCAAATCGCCCTATAAGTAAATAAAGGCATAACAAAATATATGATAATAAGGCGGAAAAATAACCCTTACAAATCGCTCTCAAGACTAGATAGATTCAAATACCTCCACAATAACATCAATATATGATTCAAGGAGAGAAAAAAACTGGAGTAAAACAAGCTGGAAAAGATCTTACTTCTCTCTTAGAAGATATTCAAATCCCGAAAATTTAATATAAATATCAATTGAGTGCGTAAAATTCTACAGTACAGGCAGTTTAGACAAACCACTGCAACTTCTAGGCACCAATCACTACCCTAGGAAGGTATTGTGAATGATATGAGAGAAAAATCTTCCGTGGGGTCGGAGGAGAGAAAAACAAATAAAGAGCTGTTTACAGAAACTGATCAATCAATATCTAACTATGTGAAGACTAAGAGAGATAAATGTGAACAGGACATGCCTTCGGAGTAGGGTGATCCTGTCCCTAAATAGATCCAGGCAGGCATAAGGGTGCCTTTTGGGGCCTCAGATACTCAGCGACGAGTATCATCAGCAAGGGAGATGTGCTGGGTATACTGAGGTATGCATCCCCAGAGCCATCGCCTGAATCAGATGCAGAAGAAGAATATGGCCACTATCCAGAGGATCGCCCTGCTGAGGACGACTAGTACGTAGAGGATCTAGTCAGTGAGGATCTAGGAAGATAGAGTGGCATAGTCCGAGAGGCGACACTAGATGAGTGGAACGGATTAATTAGCCATCAGTGCAGCAATAGACCACGTGGGGGCCAAAAAATAAAAATAAATGGATAGTTAGACTCTATAAAAATTCCATGTAGATATCTGAAAAGCAGTAGCCCAAAATAACCATAGTTAAACAAGAGAACGAAAAATCTATAAAGTGTGTAACTCAAACCGAAAAAAAATGTTAAAGTTATGTACGAACTAGCTTGGGTATTTACTTCATTATGTATTTTTGTACATTCTTCTCTGTTTTATAGCGTATTATTTCATTTATAAATATTTCAGTCAAAAGCCAACAGCAAAACTCAACAAAAGACAGAAGTTAAATGCTAGGTAATTAGGAAAATCTCCAAGCACAGAGCCTTGTGTGCCTCCATGACGTTCAAACACATGCTGTATCCCTATAAAATATCCAAAGATATCTGTATAAGTACTCAGGGATGTCATGGAGCTGTTATCTGGAAGGATCAATTTAGTTTTGTTGTTGCCGAACGTTAACAATTGCCGAAAAAAGGCTGAGTGTTTTCACAAATTATAACTGACCACCAATTTTAAATTTATAAATAAACAAAAAAAGGTAATTGATTTTCTAATTCTTGTCCCATTTCGACCGCTGGATGATCCATGTAAAGAATTATATATTTTTGTAAAAATGCAAGTAATTTATTTTTTTCAATTGATAGTATTTACATGTTTTTAATAACATTAGTATACCATAATTAAATTTACCTAAATTTGCTATATTCAGTATAAAAATATGTCTGAGATACAAGACGCGAGGTGTGAGAACCAAATGGTACATAGTTTATTATTTAATTTAGCTCCAACATTATACAATAACTTCCATCATCTACTCGAACGTTTAATATGAACCAAGAGGAAAGAGGAAACGGTTGGTATAAAATCCTAGCCGCCATTCAGCAATATTAATCTACTTATCATTAATATTCTGTGAAGATTCTCATACCTTAGCTGGTATTGTGACTATATAAAGTTGTTTATTGCTTATTGTGGTTGAACGTTCTCATGTATTCCGACTAGGGAAATGATATCGTTGCAGAGACCTCCTAGAATGTTCTTATCCATTCCTCCTTTCAGGCTGGCTTGATATTGCATTGTATTATTTAATTTAATAATAATAATAATAAGACTTAGCGAAACCGAAAGTTCGATGCCGATACCACCAATCGATCCAGATTCTTCCATCCACCGGGCTTCATCTAAACCCAATCCCGCCAAATCAGCCTTAAAAGAATCGTCCCACCTTCGCTTTGGTCTACCCCTCGGACGCTTACCAGTCGGTACTTACATATTAACTTTTTAGGAATTCTTTCGTTACTGAGCCCAGCGATTTTACATGCCCATTTTAATCGCCTTAACTTAACCATCTCAATTATATTAACCAGATACCCACGTTTCGCATCTATTAAGAACCGTAGGTAAGATAATGGGTTTTTACATGCTAGTTTTATGTTTCGATACAGGAGGCGAGAACTAAGTGGTTTTGACAAAGGAAAATAAAAAACACATCAACCTAACCTTCATATCAAGGAAGGATATGGTCCGGGGTTGCGGTCATAAATAGACTAAATAGTGGCAAAACTATTTTATTGAATGCCGACATTTCGACCCGACTTTGCAGGTCTTCTTCAAGGAGGTGTGTTCAGCTGATATATACCAGTATATATCAGCTGATATATACCAGAGTTTCACTTAGTACTCTGCTTAGCCTATTTATGACCGCAACCCCGGACCATCTTCTTCCTTTATAATGCAACGGTCAACTATTAAATATACAAAATAACCTTCATATCCTCTTTAATTTCGTTTTTTTCTGGTTAGCGTAAACCCTAGATACCTCAAATTCTGTACGTGTTCAAAAACATTCCCTTCTATATCGATATCGTTGAAATTGTCCCTGTTTTTGCAGGTAACAGGTTTATTTATTATACAAATATATGTATAATTTGTTAAAATATGTGTATTTATATATGTGTTAAGTATGTGCATTTTGTCTTATCCGTATTTAACTCGAGTCCGGCTTTCATCAACGTTTTTGTATTTAGTTTTATTGTTTTCATGTCTTCGCTTAACAGTACCAAATTATCAGCATACCCAAGCACAGATATTGTTCCACCCCGGTTCAAACCTTTTTCGGTATGTATCACTTCTCTAATGGCATTTTCTCACCTTGTTTTAAGCCCGGACGAACCTCATATTTCTCGGATAAATAATAACCGATTCTAACTTTATTGAGTATTTCCGACACAAGCACATCCTAACTAGATTCACTAATTTTTTAGGGATCCTCCACCCGATTAGAATATTACGGTATTAAAATAAAACAGTTTCTGGCGGTCGATGGAATCATAAGCCTTTTTAATTGATATAAAGCTGATGAACATCACCACTGTACTCTATTTTTTTCTCTAATATTTGTCGCAAAGAGAATATTTGATCAATATTGATTATTTAATTTTATATTCTAATATTGTAAGATTGAATAATTAATTTTGTATAATAACAATAATTATTCATTGTAAATTTTTATCTAAACTTAACGAATATATCGGGTAAAATTACGTCCACACAATCTGGTATATTGTCCTAACTGGGTCCGAAAATATTAGTAAATATGTTGTAATATTATACACGATATCCACATTCGGACCCAATTACATATTTTTTTAGGAATAAATAAAGTTGATATTCGTTTTTCGTACCTCGAAAAATCCATTAATAATAATTTTCATTGTAATCGAGAAATAAAAAAATGTTTGCTTAATATTTCGGCTCCTAGTAACAGTTATGAGATCGTTTTGTGTTTATTGCTTTCTGGTAGATATCCACATTACAATAAAACATCGATTACCAGGCCGGACAAAAACCATCAGACAAGGTTATAATATTTCATGACCTAGCATCACGAAAACAATTTACATTAAAATAGGTGACGCCACGTTCGTAACCTCTCCTTGTAAGTCGTAACTCGACAGAGGCTATTATATATATATATATATATATATATATATATATATATAAGTTCGTGTACCGGTACCGGGAGTCTTTTAAATCCCCGCTCCTACCCCCTGACCCGGGAAAATTCCTTATAGCCTTAAATGCAAGGAAGGGAAGGACCAAAAAAAACATAAAGGTCATATAAGGTGAAAAAAATGGCATAGAACAAATCTGTAGAGCTTTTTTTGGTTTATTCTTAGAGAGCGCTGCGACACAGTAATAGTATAGTTTCATTTTGAACCGCTTGAGTTTTTACACCTTCCAGTAAATTTCAGCAGCTTTATACATATTTTTTTTTGTTAATAGCGAAATATGGTTGTTGAGCATAATTACTAATCCCATCATCATTTTGATTGAATTAATATTATTAATTGAAGTTAACTTCCAACAGTTATGTTTTCACCTGATACGTAATATAATCTGCATAAAACTGAGACGTTACAATTTAATTATAAATTACTAAACATTCCATTTTTTAACCTAATAATTTTGACCTTTATTTTTTAATTTCTATTCGCACTTAAGTTCAGAGTTCGCCTTAAGGTCATCTCTTCAATATTAATCAAAATTAGTTTTTGATAGTTATTTATTTTACATTTAGGGGAATCTTAGTATCCCTCTTCAGCAATCTAAAAAAATATACAACCAATATATACCCAAAAAGTACAATAAATAAAACTATCAAAATCTATTTTTTATTTTTATTAAACTGACCCTAAGGCATACACATTAGTGTGTATAGACATTATTTAATATATAATACTATAACATATTACAGAAAGACAATAAATTAGCCATATATCTGAAGGAGGGGAGCTCAAGATATTATATAAATACCCTTTGGACCCAATCTACGCCATTGGATAGATATGGAAGTGGTATCGGAATAACAACAATTCGTTCTCATTAACCGAGGGGTTGGACGAGATAAATCACAATTAGTAATTTGTATCTCTATGGAATGGTCTCTTCTCCTACCTCGCTTCCCTCTCAACGTATTGCTATATTACAAACCTATTATCCTAAATTACACTTTACTCGTCATAATCAATACATACTTGCTCTAATGTAACATAAATAGAAATTTATTCAATATAGTGATAATTGTTCCGACTATATTCCTGTATAACGAAAGAATGAGAAGTTAGAAAAGCAAATTTTTCCAAAAAAAATGTCAAAGCTGAAATTAGCTAAGGGTTCGGTTAACAAACATACACATATCATGGGGTAATATTTATTGGACAGCCTACGTTTCGACCGACGTTATTAGGTATTCATGAGAGCTTTCGTCCAGCAATGCCGGAGGTAGCAAGGGAACTCAGCTAAAAGCCAAATTTTATACAATTCCTTCCTTTACTGCCTTACAGGCGGTTATATTGCCTTCAACATTAATGTACGAAAGCCCGGATGAAAACCTACAACGTAGTTCGAAACGTATGCTGTTCAATCAACATTACGTTTACATATTATGAGGAGGACTTTTGACCAAACCTTCGACTAACCTCGTTTTAAATTATAATTACAGTTAATTACTTCGATACAATAAAAAATATCAATAAAGTCAATATTGGCGTTGAGATATCGATTTTGGGTTGATATCTTGAAAAGGATATATTTTCTCCTGCTCCTCCCCCCTTTTAGTTTTTCAGACTTTGTAGACATTCATTCTTTTTAACCTATTATTTTTAAGTTTTCTGCAAGCAGCTCTTCGGCATTAATTCGATTTATTCATCTTCTTTTTGTCCTTCCACGTGGTATCTTGCCAATTATTGAGGCATCCATTGTTTTATAGATGCTTCTTGTTGGATTGTTTCGAGCTACGTGCCTCGCCCATCCTTCACTTCATATCCCTTCATTTATTGACTGAAGAAAAAGTATTTTTATTTATCAAAATTACACAATATAAATTACAAAACTATACTAAATAATATTTTTGGATTTAAAACCGAAAATCAGACGTGCTACATGGTCTGTTGACCGTCAGAGGAGTCTGTGTTTTATAAAAAATATATTTCAATCATTATATATAACAAATAATATATAATATTTCATATAATTATATACAAATACATTAATAGGAAAATAAGAACAATTATATTTACAATGTAAAAGTTATATAAATATTTTAATTACAAAAACAGTGGTACCAAAATTCTCCAATTTATTAATTGTTAAATTCTCTGGTGAGCATTATTCTATAGGAGAAAGCAGACTTGCAGTAATTTACCAATGCTATCCAATTGTTTCCATTTAATAAATCAATTACTTGATCCCGAGATAAATTTCTAGACTTTAACCATTTAATTCTAAATTCAGAGAGTATCGGACAAGCAGCCAGGAAGTGATAGAGATCTTCTGTTTCGTTTGTATTACACATGCTACAATTATTATTTGTTTGCTGGAAGTGTTTATAATTTAAGTTCAAAACATCAGCTCTAATTTTAATTACCCATCTGATCACCTTCAATGAGCTTTTGTCATCAATATAATTTACTGAAGTTAAATGAGGATAAAAAGTGAAAGTTTTAGAATTCTGAACTTTAATTACATATTGATTATATATGTCTTTCTGAATTTGAGTTCTTAGTAAATATAAATTAGCTCTCCATAGTTTAACATCATCACAGTTAGATCGATTTAAGTTGAAATTTAATCCATGCAGTTCTATCAGATTAAGTAAGTCCCTAAACCATGCGATTTCTTTTTTAATTATCTGTAGTGCTAATATTTTTGGATATCTATGTGGTGGAAGATTCAAAATTTTTATAATGTAATCAAAATGGAGTTTAATTGTGAAGATAAATAACGGATCTATTTTAGTCTCAAAGTGAATAAAATGTGTTGGAGTATATTTTGGTAATTTAAATATTTTTTTAAGAAAGAATCTTAGTAGTCTTTCCACGGCTTCATAACTTACCCCACCCCAGATTTGTGCTCCATAGCACATCACTGTCCTACTAACGGAATTTATTGACTGTTTTCTGTAAGCAGTTCTTATTGATCCTTCTTCTCCACTTGTTCTTCTGGTCAAGTCCTTCTGTTAAGGACTTTTCTCTTGAATGTTTCAATTATCCTTTCTAACTGGCTTATTATTCTAAACGAACTGGCTTTGTCCACCCTGAATAGATTTCTAGATCGCAATAGGAAATTATTGAAAATTTATTTTGTTTCATTTCGCCTGATCAAATCTCTTCAATGGATTCCTTTATTATACTTTTCCAAATCTTCCTGTGGCGCGTCCTCTAGGTCTTCTACCTCCCACCTGTATCTCATGAGAGAGACTTGTTAATCTGCCCCCTGACATTGGGGAGACGTGTCCGAACCATCTTACTGTTTTATCATTTGCATCCTGCAGATCTATCCTCGCCTCACCTTCGACAGGATAGAATCCAAACCTACCGCTCGGAGTTGGCTCTGCTACTATGTATACAATTAAATTCCCATCAAATCACCTTTACCCTTCGTCGTAAACCAACAACTTCCTGTCCTACAGTTTCCTTTAACAATACTCCACTTATCCCTGTTGAGCAAATCCGATACCTAGGACTCCACCTGGACAAACGACTAACTTGGAATCCTCATACTAGACTGAAACGACAAGAAACCGCTCGACGTTTCCGATTACTTCAGCACTTACTAGACAAACGCTCTAAACTTCCAATTAATTACAAAAGACTCATATACTTGACTATAATAAGGCCTATTTGGACTTACGGAGTTGAGCTATGGGGCTCCACTAAACCATCGAATTCCTCTCGTATCCAATCCTTACAATCGAAAATCCTTCGTAAAATCCTCAATGCTCCCTACTTTGTTACAAATAAAATCATCCTTAATGTTCCTTATGTTTCAGATCTGGCCCAATCCAGATACCTATCCTTCCATAATAAACTTCAGAATCATCCCAACCCTCTCGTTTCAAATCTTGCTTCCTCTTCAATTCCTGATAACCCTCCGAGGCGTCTGAAAAGAAGATGGCCCGTGATCTCCTAATGTAGACATATCATTAGAGTGCTACCATTGGGTAGTTACTCAGCAAGTGTTTTCATGTCATTATATACATTATGTTCTAATTTACTAGATGTATTTATTTAATACAGTTGTAAATGCCTTTAAGAAATAAAATTAAAAAAAACATTAAATTATTAGCATCGATGAGGTTATGAACACCGGCTATACTCACTGGAGAACCAGCAGGACTCGGTGCCGATGAGCGGCCTGAGCCAGACGGGCACGGTGTTGGTGTGGTCAGCCGCGATGGAGGCGGCGGTGAGGAGGCTGGGCACCGACCAGGCGTAGAGGCTGTACAGCCAGAACCGCCTCATGTCTCTCTTCCTCCGGTCGATCACCGGCCGCATGGATCTGCAAAACAAAATGGCGATCAGCTGTTAGTGGGGTAGTAGAGGCAGTGGCAGGGTGTGCGTCGTCAGCAATGGTAAACATAACAACCAAGAAGAACAAGACCTTTTTGTCATTTCTTTATTACAATAATTCAGTAACATCTTGGAAAATTTAATCACGTTTAAGTACTTTGTCGGATTTTTTTTTTTAAATCTTATTTATTGAAAAATATTACAATCTGTCTCAAAGTACATTTATAATATGAGAAGGAGTTGATCCGGGAGGGAGGGGGGTGCGGTTAAATAAATACTAAAATATACAAATAACCTTTATTAATTGAACCTTTACAAATAACCTTTCTTAACCTTTAGTCCCGTTATCTGCTTACCTACAGTTATCAAATGTAACCTCCACTAGCTTGTTATCCACTGATATCTTATTATTATATTATCTTATTCTTATTTTAGCTTTACTATATCAATACTTATTCAATTTTCAATCTCTTTATTCGTTAACATTCATTTTCTTTATCTGTTAACCTACAGTTATCAAATGTAATCTTTATTAGTTTGTTATACACTCATTCCTTATCTTTTATCGCAATCTGTTTACTTTTAACTTACATGCTATATTCTCCTTTGTTTTCTATTTTTATTCATACTTATTTTCCATTTTTGTTTGTATCTTCTATATATATAATACTTGATATTTTAACTACATTGTCACCCACTATATCTCTGATATCATCTTTTTATTTCTTTATCAGACAACTTCTTCTTATTCTATATCTACTTATATTCATTTATTTTATTTTCACCATGTTTTGTATCTTTTGTAGCCCTGATGAAGACCTGCAAAGTGGGTCGAAACGTCGGCAAAAATTAAATAATACTATTTGTATAATTTAGTATTTATTTCACCGCACCCACCGATCATCAGTCTCTACATCACTACATCAGTATCCACGACAGTCAACCAATTACCAATTATACATTTATAATAGTGTTTAGAGTTCACATTCACACTATATGTATAATAAATTATACAGAAAAATAATATATATACAATAAATAAGAATAAAATTACCTAAAAATAAATTAAAAAAAAAGACCACACACATACCTATATACACTTTATAATCTGGCGAGAGAACTTCGGGCCAGACTTGTCCCTCCAACTGTGGAGGGAAAAGCGTGAGTCGAATTTTTAAAGCAGGCCATTGCACACTTAGTGTAACTGACACTAAATTGTTCAACCAACACATCTCAAATGTTGATATATAAATTGTGTCAGTTTAATACAAACAGTGTTTTTCTATTGCTAATAATGTAAAACTTACAAAAAACGTACTTGGAAGTTTTGCTATATCAAAAATTTATTTTAAAAACCAACGATATGGACCATGAGTTCGATTCTACTGAGGAAAGTAAGATTTATGTTTGGTGATTTTTAAGGGTTACATTTTGTTTTTATCCTAACCCTCCGATGTAATTTATATTGCGTTGCCAAATAACTTCTTTCGGTTTTTCTAATTTTTTTTATGTCGCTTTGATACACTTCTTATCTCATGAATTAATCCCTAAGGTGGATTGTTTATCCCGTTTGAAATATGTCAACAACGCTATCTGTTAACTCTTGTTGAAACTAGTATAGTGTTGTGTTTGCTATTGCACTGTGAATATGAAAGAAAATATCATTCATTATCGTCATATTTTGTTGCATTATTTTTAAAAAAGATAAGTGTGCTACAGAAGGTATAAATATTGCCATATCTGAAAAAATACAGTTGCGCGTGCGTAAGCATATATGGAATTTGACAAAATTGATATGGGACCATCTAGATATTAACCCATACAATCGCTAAAATTTTATTAAAATCTGATAAAAGATAATAGGTGATAGTCAGTTTGACTAGAGACAGACAGACACCGAACCAAATTTGATTTCGAGGAGCATGGAAATTGGAAACGCGAGTGGAAATTTTCGATTCTGGGCACATTTTTTTTTTTTTAACCTTTCGTGCGAATAAAATGCTTCCCTTCGGTAGTGAGGAAGCAAAAAAAAAATATCAAAATGGGATCTCTTTCAGCAAACAGCCAATAGCAATTTTTACAAATATTTTGGTTCTATATTTTGAATGAACCAGTAAATCGACCAAGGAAAAAATTAATTCCTTTCTCTCATAATACATTATCCATTATCATTCGCTCCGTGACCAACATGCTATACCAATTATTATCTCCTAATCTCGTAGACATTTAACTTTAACAACAACTATCATAATTATTTAAATATAAATGCTCTTGAAGCTGGAAAATGGAATAGGTACAATGTGTAAATGTTGATGACATGAGATATATATAGCTAAGATTAGGATGGCTTAATCTCCTCAATTATGGTACAGCCCCCCCCCCCTCTCGAGATAAATTCCGGTATTTCACACTCTGCTATATCCCAGGTGATTATTATCGGGGTTTCATTTAAATAAAGGAACATTGAAGCAGTTATTTCCGAGATGGAGATATACCGCAGCCTCGCCCCTTCCCTAAATGTCACATAAATCCTAATTCTGGCTCCGCCAAATTGTCTCGATAACTGTTCGTGCTCGCTCTCAGGAGTTCTCGCTTAAAATATATTTCGGTGGAACAGGTTTGAGGGTGCATCTTATGCATATTGAAAAATATCGATTGATATTTTTCATGTCGATATATCGCTTTTGAAATTTGAATATAAAACTAACAAAATTAAAATAATTTAATTTAAAAAAGTTGTCTTTCTATATATTCTTTATGTTTCTCTCTTTGCGCAACCGGTTTCGGTCTTTTATCAGACATTCATCAGGCTAGGTATAATAACGAAATTAACAACAATAAATACTTTTGCTAACAATAATAAAACCTAATTTAAAATTTAACAATTTAAAATCCAATCTTAATAAATTATTTAATAAAAATGGTAATCATCTAACTTATAGAGGTGCTCCTCTCCTGCTTATGAAATGAGGACTAAAAAATAAAAATAAAACTACTGACCAAATGTGCTATCCCTCCCCCCACCTCTTGTTCTCATTAGCCACCACTAATTTTATGGGTTCAGAATCCTCAAATTTAGTACTTTGTACATTTAGGCACATTACATCATTTTTTATAATACTTTTCTTAATTTCTAATTTTTCAAAAAAAAAATTCCGAAAGTCCCTTCTGTTTTCTTTTGAAATGGCATGCAACAATTTTACCTTATTACTTGTGGGTGTGAACAATTTATTTTTAGTCCTCATTTTACTATCAGGAGAAGAGAACCTCTATAAGTTAGGTGATTGCCATTTTTATTAAATAATTTAATAAGATTGGATTTTAAATTATATTTTATTATTGTTTGCAAAAGTATTTATTGTTGTTAATTTTATTATTTTACCTAGACTAATGAATGTCTGATAAAAGAGCAAAACCGCCGTGCAAAGAGAGAAAAATAAAGGAAATACAAGAAGACAACGTTTTTTTATTAAATTAAATTTTAGTCCTGTAATATCAAGCCTAAATTAAAGAAAATTAAAATATGTTCAAGAAAAATATCGATAGTATATATATATATCAATGACTAAACAAATAAAAATACTCATAGTAAAATATAAATAAATATAGGGCCTTATTTATCAGAGGCACTCATATCGCACTAAAAAAATTTCGTTGAACTTAAGTATTTATTATAATCAAAATATTATAATATATTATTATAAATATAATAATAAAGTGAAGGATGGTTGGGGTGATCAGTCAAAATAAAAATGGCAAAAATAATTAATAATATTTATTTTAACATTTGCCGACGTTTCTACCCGAAGTTCAGGCCTTCATCAGGGCTAATCAAAGCAATCGCTTAAATAGAATCAATCATTCCACGAATATAATAAGTAAAATATACAATGGTAAAAAGGAATGATTAGTGGAAAAACAAATAGGTGCTTGTTAAAAACAGATCATAATTAATTGTTTTAAATAATAATTTGTACCGTCTGTAATTTTCAATTTAATTTCTCTTTCACTCAAAACACCTATTTTTGCCTTAAAAAAAAAGTTGTGTGATGGGTGCACCGCACTAGATTTCTATTTATATGTTTGTATATATTTTATAATGTTTGTTAAATATTTGCGGAGTTGTAAAATAAAAACATACTTTTTTAAAAACTGAAACAACTATAAAGTATCGTTCTTATTAAATAAACTTTATAGGGATATATTCGTTTATTTTGCTGATTAATGATTAATGATGCAGCCTTATTCTGAAATGGCCAGACTAGAATATAGGCCATATTCTGTTGCGGATGGAATGGAAAGGATTGGGCGCGGCAAAGACCTCAATCCTTTGTGGGATGGACCAATAATGGGATGGCAAACATCCGCAGGTCTCTAATGGGTTCGGGGTGTTGGTTCCTCGATCCAGGAGGCCGTGGCGATATAAAGTGAATTGGGCCGCCTCTGCTAAATATATAGAAAACTTAAATTAAATAGATTAATCTAGTATGTAGTAGCTTCTAGAATGTTTAATTTGAAAATGGCAACGTTATAAATGGAATAACCGAAATATAAAGCGTTTCTCCAATTCAGGGGGGAAAAAAAGTTTACTATAGACATCTCAGCAAGCCATCCATATACATACCGAAGGAAACGGAAGATTCGATAAACATCAGAGGAAGGCTATGTTAAACAGCTGATTAGCAGCCATAACAGGAGAGAAAAAAATTTTTAATTAAATAAAATTAAAATAAAAGAACCAATTAATAATGATGTAGAGATGGTTGACCGTTGATATAATATGAGAAGGAGTTAATCGGGGGGTGCGGTCAAATAAATACTAAATTAAAATATAGAAATTATTTAATTTTTGCCGACGTTTCGACCCACTTTGCAGGTCGTCTTTAGGGCTACAAAAGATACAAAACATGTTGAAAATAAAAAATAAATATAAAATAAGAAGAAGTTGTCAGATACAGAAATAAAAAGATGATATCAGAGATATA